CTCGTATAAACTTTGATTTGAAACCTTTACTTGAATTAGCCGTGATAATAAACTTGTAAAAGCCTTAAGATTACTACATACATTAAAAAGAAATAACACTCTGACACCCCGTCTAACAGTTGTAGTTCGCAAGAATTACACGTTAACAATAGTAACTTATACCCTTTACTTGGTTATCAGAAAGAAGGAATCGAATGATAGTTGTTTTATATAAATCAGAATAATATTAACTGAGATTGTATATCTTTTATTTTTTTTATTTTTTCTATATATAAAACATCATGTGATATGATATCATTTTGACTATTTTGACTATTTTGGATATCTGAAATGATCCATTTTGACTTCATGTATAAGAATTAATTTATCATCATCAATTATTCTAATTATTCTTTACCATGTTAAAATAAAAGTGGATATGATTTTTTTTAAATATTTAAAAATTTCATGTAAGTATAAATAGATTCAGAATTAAAGAATATTTTAAAGAGAAAATTGGAAAACATTTTTATTAATGATAATCAATTTAAATTTGACCAATAAAAACTTTTTTAGATTTTGCCTCTTTCTACTGACAAAGTTTATTTACAACTGTATGCATTATACCGATCATATTTAAAAATAGGATAGTAAATATTTTTAGCAAGAAATCAATAAACTGATAATTGAGATGCATCTGATTTACTGACATTATTTTATTTCAAAAACACAAAATCATGATTTTTTCAACATTTTAAGTTAGATTTAAACTTTAGATTTTCACCTTTTTTATTGACAAGCACCATATATAATTTTTTGTTTCTTTTATGCTTTTCTTTATAATCTTATTAAAATTACTTTGGGATTTTCAGATATATTTTTTTTAAAATAAGTTACTTTATCACAATTTAGTAAAATTTTGAAATAAAGTTAATTGTATTATTTTTTTATTTTTTTTTGCTTATCTATTACTTAAATAAAATGATTCAAACAACATTTTTAATCTTCTAAGCATATAAATTATGAAAACTTACTGCCTTATTTGTTTTATACAATTAATATTAAGATTATATGTAAATTAATTTATTTATGATTGATAAAATATCCGGGTATATATATCAATTGAAAATTGATTGGTACCCGGGTATATTATCATGGTGGTACGATCAAAAGGGGGTCTCTTAGGCAGTACTAATTAACCAATTATTATTAAATAATTTGTAGATCGTTATAATATTCAAATATCTTTTTTTTAAACAAAAAAAAAAAATCTTTTAAACCATGAAAAACAAAAAGAAAGCTCGACGGTCAGGCGCAAATAAACAAAACGCAAAACATCAACAACAGGTCTGTGTAGTATTGATCTGCTACTTGTATTATTTCATGATTTCTGACAGAGTATCTACAATTTAGCACGGGAGAAGAAATAAGACGAAAAAGGTATTGTTGAAATATTTCTAATAAGTACGTTTTTACATGAAATTTATTTCATATTCTTTGTAGCAAGATCTATCTGCTGACGAATGGGCTCAAGCACAAAAAGTTCTAGATCAACAGTTAAAGGAATTGGGTTTATACTGTAAAGAAATTAGTGCAGACGGAAATTGTTTGTTTCGGTATAATTTGATATTTAATAAGTAGTATCTGTTTATAATTTATTTATATTTATTAAATGCTGCATTTTTTTCATTAAAGGTCTTTATCCGATCAATTTTATGGGAATACAAAACAACATTCAAAGATTCGCAAAGAAATTTGCGCATATTTAGAAGAAAACTTTGATCATTTTCAATTCTTTGTAGAAGATGACAAACCTTTTGATTACCATATAGCACAGATGAAAAAGGATGGCACCTATGGTGGAAATATGGAATTAGTAGGGTTCGCACAACTTTATGGAGTTGATATAAAAATATATCAACCTGGAACAATCTATGTTATTGAGGGAAATGAAAATAATAAGTCTACGGAAAAAATTGGAACCAAAAAAACCTTACATATCGCGTATGTTATCTTAGCGTTTAGTAGATTACCAAAAACAATGTTATTTGTTATTTTCCTCTAGGATAGTTATTTATCTGTACTTTAACGAATTTCAGAATTTTAATCACATGTATATAGTTATCATAATTGGGAACATTATAGTTCAGTAAGGAACATCCAAGGGCCACATGAAGGTGATCCGGAAATTATATCAGAGGTAAGATGACATAGTTTCATATATATATTTTTTTTTTTTTTAGCCTTAATTTTAACCATTTTTTTTTACTTAGTCAATACATTCTACTAATGATCCTGCCTCTGATACTGATAATCCTCCGAATTCAATTGAAAAAATGATCATGAGCTCTACTGGGGAGAAGAATTTGGCAACCATTCGTGACATGATGACAAGATTACAATTTAACCATGATGAAGTTATAAATGAATTAATTGAAAGATCACAAAAAAAATCTATTAACGGTAATGGTTCATATTCAAAAGAAGTTGAAGAAGGTAAGTAAGATTCAATATAGTATGATTAAATTAACAATTAGACTTATTATATTTATTTATCATTAGATGTAAATCCACAAGAACAGGAAGAACATTTGCCTATGGAAGATTCTTCTCAAAGCAAAGCCACAATACAGCCTGATATATCACCGAGAAAAGATCAAGAAACTTTAGATGTGAACATTAATGCAAAAACTAGAAATACTAGAAATTTAATAGAAGTGAGTGAACCCCCTAAATCGAAGAAGGAGAGAAGAAAAATGCGTAATAAGAAAAGAATTAAAAATAATAATTATAAGAATGTAATCAAGTATGAGGATAAAGATAAAAATAAAGTAATGACGCAACTATTTATTTAATAAATGATGCATTGTCACATGCCAATTGTATTTGTCGTCCAAAAAAAAATTTATTTATTTCAAAGGTCACAGGATCTAGGCTAAATTTGTTCCGTTATTGGTCTTCTCTTGCTCACGTGTTTCTCTTGATTCTTGACGATCACGTGTATTTGGAAGCTATATCATCAATTGTGCTATTTTATCATTTTGTACCCCGCAGTCAATACTGTCAGAAATTTAATAATAGAGTTTTTTTTTTTATAACATACTTTAACAGTTGTTATAGATTGGTGTAAATAGGCATAAACATTTTTCTTCAAAACAAGAACTTTCAAAGTTAGGACTAATCGGACAGAATTTCAGTTCTCTAATTTGCCCTCACCCTTGTTATCAGGAAAGAAGGTGCCAAACAGCGCGTTCAAAAGAACGAGCAGTTCTCAAACAGGAAATTAACGTTGAATAAATCAAATCAAATCGTCATCAAGGACGATCTGGAAATCCAAGAAGCCGAAGACAACAAGCAGGTTCAAGGGCAAAAAGTGTACTTGAACGGTGTCGAGAAAAGTATATATTTATTTCTCTCGGTTTATTTCTTTTATTCTGCTACAAATTAGTGATACATATATATATACACTATTTTCTATCACATTTATAAAGTGGATGATCTTACAAGCGGTTCAGATAGTGATTACACAAAATATTGGATTGATTGGTTTTTGTCTACTAAGGGAAATGAATATTTTTGTGAAGTTGATGAAGAATATATACTTGATCGTTTTAATTTAACCGGACTAAACTCTGAAGTTCAACATTATGTTCAAGCACTTGATTTGATAACGGATTCTTTAGGTAATGATATCACAATAGAAAATACAGATATACCCTTTGATAAAATCTGAAAAATAATTATTATTATTTTAGAAGAAGAATTGGATGATGAGATGCGTGAAGCCGTCGAGAAATCCGCTCGTCACTTATATGGTTTGATTCACGCGAGATTTATTATCACAAGCAGAGGTTTAGCAAAAATGGTACGTCAAATATTACATTATTTGAAAATTAAAAAAAAAATAATATTTTCGTTTACTTACTATTTATTACTCTTTAGCTTGAGAAATACAAGAAAGCGGATTTTGGCCGATGCCCACGTGTTTTATGTCATAATCAACCTCTCTTACCAGTTGGACTATCTGATCAGCCTTATACGAAATCCGTTAAATTGTACTGCCCTCGTTGTGAAGATATTTATAATCCTAAATCCACTCGACATGCAAGTATCGACGGTGCTTATTATGGATCTACTTTCCCTCATATGCTCTTCCAAGTTTATCCACACTTGCTACCACCTAAAAGTAATGAGCGATATGTTCCTAGAATTTTTGGATTCAAGATTCATGATATTGCCAAACAGCATCGTTGGCAAGATCAACAAAGAGAAGAACAACAAAGAAGAATCACCGTGGTTGGCGAAGGAAATGCTAATAGTTAAACTACATGCGTTTTTGAGTTTTTATTATATTGTGAGATTACAATATAACGATAGGATACACTTTTATCTTTATAATTCAAATGAGAGATCATAAGTGTGATATTTGGTTGAGTGGATCGTGTGTATTTATGTTGATTATAGAATGATTACAGCAATATAACGAACTTTGCTGTTTTTTTTTTAAAATTTACCATACTTTTTTTTAATATTACTGTAACTTCTGTCTGGTATTACCTCTGAATTTATACCTTTTATTCTTTCCGTTAATAGGTTGATTTCGCATCAATATATCATTATTTTTCCTTTGTAAAAAATTCCCAATTCCCCTTTCTTTTTTTTTAAAAAAAAAAGAAAAAAAAAAAATATGAAAAAGAAATCAAGACTAAATGTTATTTAACGAATATTGCGAATTTGCTTACGTTGATCACGTTACTTGAAGAGGCTTGGATATAGAACTTGTGGCTTTTTGTATTAATTATAAATAGAAAAATAAAAAAAAAATATATATATATTTTTTAAACTTTAGCCACGCCATGCTGCGGATATCATACATGAAAAAAGAAAAGAAAATTTTTTCAATTGAAAAATAAAAGATTTTATTACACATTAATTTTTTTGATAATACAAATAGATTTTCCTAAATTATAAATTATAGATCTTTATCGCTTTCTTCTTTTAGTATTCCTTTGTAAAGAATAATATGCTAAAACTCGCATAACTAAACCAAATCCGAATAATAATATTAAATTAACAAACCAAGGTAGGTCATTTAATTTTTCACTCTCCAATATCAGCCTACCGGGAATATAATCGGTTTGCAAATTTTCGGATTTACATAAACTTGTTTGTATCGATGACGATAAAGCACATTCAAATTTCGCTTTTGGTGAATTAAATTGAATTTGCATAAGCAAACCATACGCATATTTTGAGAATGACTAAATAAAAAAGAGATTGTTAATGTCAAGTCCTCTTTTTTCTCTTAAAATAATAATAATAATAATAAGCTGGTACTTACAAGGTATTTTAGCCAATCCAACGCAACTGGTAAATTTTTCACGTAAAATCCACCTAATAACATGGTTGAAAGCATAAATACTGTACTAATGACTATATTTATCAATAAAAAAAAAAATAATTAATTATTATTATTATTTTTTTTATAAAAAAAAAGAAAAAATAAAAATAAAAGTAAAAATCTTCAAACTTACTCATGCTTTTTTGTACATTTAACAAAGTGGCTCCAAAGAAATATCCAAAACTTTGAGCCGTTAACGTGGAAAGTAAAATTACAAATAAATAAGCTACGAATATACCAAAATCTGGTAATAAACCTGAAACCCAATAAACTATAATGGTAAACACTACAGGATGAGCTAAAGTTAAAGGCAATTCTGCTATTTGTTTTGATAAAAAGTACGATAATAAACGATAAGAACGTGATTGACGTTCTTTTGACAACATATCTAAATCTAATGCAAAAGCAGATATAGCTGAAATTAATGGATGAAATGACCAAAATACATTATTGAAGAAGATCTATACGCGTAATCGAAGAAAAAAAAGAAAGAGATTTATTAGAAATATTAAAAAGTTAAAAAATGTTTTTTTTTTAAATAAAAAATGATATGAATTGTTTAACTTACACTCCCAACACGATCAGTTATATGTTCTTCTTTAAAAGGAATTTGAAACCAAACCAAACAACAAATCAAAGCCAAAGCAAGAGTTTGAGCTATATTAACTTTTGATAAAATTTCACCTTTCCTTTGTTTGAAGTTTCTTTCGGTTAGAATTGAAAGTTGTTGCATGAATGTAGCCTCCCAACGATGTTCACTTTTGACTGGAGCATTTATTATATTATCATCTTTTGATTTATCATCATTATTTGTCCTATGAGAATATTTTTCGACTATTTGCTTTCCTGTTGGTTCATCTCTAACTTGGACTGCGTATGCATTAATTAGTTTCTTCTTGATTTCATTATTGTTCAAAAGTTCCACTTTATTATATGTTATAGAGGCAAAACTTTCAAATTAATAAATAAAAAAAATATATAAAAGAACTTTTTAGATCAAATAAAATACGTACGTATATAATCGGCAGGATTGAAGTTGGGATGGCATTTGAAACCTTGATTAGCAAGATAATTCACAATACCAGCTCTTTCTCCAAAGTAAACCATATGTCCATCGGCCATTAACATTAATTTATCAAAAGTGTCAAATACTTGAGATGAAGGCTGATGAATAACCATAACAATTGTCTTTCTTTGCTTTACGGCGAGTTCTTTAAGAATCGTTGAAAGTTCAAGTGCCAATGAGGAATCTAAAAAAAAAAACAAAAATTGAAAACATATTGATTAAAAAAAAAACCGATTTATTTTCTTGAATGGTTTCAATCAAGGTCGTGATGCTTGCCTAGACCGGAAGTTGGTTCATCAAGGAAAATTACACTTGGATCCGTTAATAATTCAGATGCAATGCTAACTCGCTTTCTCTCTCCTCCTGAGATGCCACGAACTCTGTGATCTCCTATCTTTGAATCAGCAACCTTTGTCAAATGCAATAATTGCATGGCATTTTCGACTTGTTTTAATTTATCTTGTCGTGACATTAAACGTGGAAGGCGTAATCGAGCCTATATCGATTTAGGAATAGAAGGATTAAATTAAGATGGTCGCAGCCGCAGCATAATGATTGGCGCAGTACTTACAGTGTAACCAAGGGTATCTCTTACGGTCAACTCGGGGAAAAAGATGTCATCTTGAGTACAGTAAGCGACAAATCTTTTTGAATTCTTTGTTGGTTTGTGACCATTCATCTTTATCGTTCCCTGAACTCCTTTGCTTCCCACTCGATCGCCAAGAAGATTTAATAAAGTGGTTTTTCCACAACCAGAAGGCCCCATGACCGCGAGAATTTCTCCTAATTTGGTAAGAGTAAGATCGATCGTTTATTTAACTTTACATAATCATTAATTGTATGTAATGAGATCTTGATTTAAAGATCGGGTACTAACCTGGATTGGCACATCCGTGAATGTTCTCTATAATCGATTGAAAATTATTACCAAATTCTATATCGGATTTTTCATTTTCCGAACCGAGAGACCAAAATTTTTTATTTTCGTTGTTTTGTTTTGGTATATTAAAATTTACACCATGCCATTCAAGATAAACAGGGTTTTTGATAGAACTTGACCCATTCGCAGCATTTTGTATTAATTCCGTTCGCTTTATCGTTCGCTCATCGTTCTTTGTCAAAGTGAGATCACTTTCCCCGAACTTTTTCTTGATTATTAAAGGAGGAAAAAAAAAACAATTAGCATACACACTATTTATATGAATATATATATGCATATATTTATATATGCATAAATTATAAAAATAAAAAAATTTCAATACCTTTGTGGCCGAATTTGAAACCGTCTCTGCTGAACTTGAAATAGAATCAACGTCTGCTTCTTGAATATTATCGATGACTTTAATTTGATCCATCGGGGTTTATTAGAAAATATTTGTTATTTTTTTTTGTATATTATGGATTGATCGATTTTATTTTAAATTGTGAAATTATATATTATTTTAATTTTATTAAATCGATCCTTTTTTCGTATTATATTATTATTTTTTTCTTTTTTTTTTGTGTTACAAGAAATAAAAGTAATGAAAAATTTTTTTTGAAGAAGGTTCAAGATCCTTTTATATTTTTTTGGATCAAAAAAAAGGATATCTTTGTAACCACATTTTGTTTTATTAAAAATACGAATTTTACTGTAAAGAAGAATCATTCACAATGTCTCAATCTGTTATCACATAATACAGTAAAACAATATATAAAAAAAATATATTATATAAAAAAACGTGGTTATTAGAATATAGAAAAATTGAATTAAAATACATAAACCCGTTTAATTAGAATATACATTTAAGGAAATATTATTAATGATTGGAATTTTTATTCTCCGAAACTATGACCAACCAATAGGTTTTTTCTCAAAATTATTGTGCTCAAACCATTTATACCATCAATTTGACGTCAAATCGACAAAATTTATGAATAATATGTTTATTATTACAATGATTTTCCTCGAAATCAAATTCATTTACAAGTTCTTTTCATTTATTTATGACGAAATGATTATATTAATAATGAGTTTATTCGCAGTTTACTCTGCGCCCAACCCGCAGCGAATGACTGCGTGTATGAAGTAATTTCGGTTTATCCCGTTTCGGATCCCAATTCAACCGAATGACGAAAAAATGGAAATGAGGATCCGGTTATTTCATTTGCCAAAACAATAAATAGATATTTAATTGTTTACACGAATAAATTTCGAGTAATTCGAGCGTACAACTTTGATTTTCAGTTCTGTCATACATTAAAATTATATAATTTAAAAAAAAAATTGAATTGTTTTCATTTGCGAGAATTCGGGTAAATTATTTGCTCACCAATTTTGTATAAGCATCAATGAAAAATGGCTTGGTCGATCAAAATCACGAAATTACATAATTTTCCTGCCGTATTACATAATAAACAATTAACATTCTATAATTTGTAAGCATTTTTACTAGATTATGATCACACCCGCAAAAAAATCTACTGCGTCAACATGAATCAAAATGACTACTAATCAATCATTCATTCATAAATTTGTTTTAATAGGAGTGATTAAACACATATGTCTAGTTATACAAAGTAAGTTGCCGCTTTCGTCCCATAGTTCTCCATCAACTTCATTTCTACCATTTCTCAAAAATCTAGATCTAAAAGATCCGGCAACCCATTGACCTTTCGGCAAATTTTTAAACTGTATTTCAAGTGTTAAAGTTGGATGCCAACACTCTCCTAAACTTCTTTCGAGATAGTTCGTAGTTGCCGGGAAAATAAAATCACAAAAGGCACTGTCATTTTTTATGATTTCTTTTTTAATTAATGAAAAACTAGGGTTGAATAAAAAAACCATCCCCCGAATTTGGTAAACTTAGTTCTTACCCTAATGATATAATGTCCAATTGTCTTTCGTCGTTGAATTTAATCCAGTGCTTCCTTTCAGCCCTATTTGAATTTTTGTTTTGGGTGTCTAACAATATTTTAAGATGATCATGCATGAAAAGTAATGTTGGATCAAGTTCAAACAATTCACAATCAGATTTTTTTGGCAAGGGTATTACATCATAGTAAGGTTGCGATATCCCTTTCTCTTTATTCAAGTCACCAAATATGACCGTAGCATGAATCTTTTCAATACTTTCCTCCATCAGGTTACCATTTTTCTATCCAAAAAAAATTCAGTTATTGTTATTCGGCTTTGCAAATCTTTCAAAAAAAGACATGCTTGGATATTTTGATGAATGCCCTGCCCTACCTGTTTTAAAATGGCATATGCGACCGATTGAGTTTTTCCTGCCTTGATATCCTGGATTTCTATTTCACATGGTCCCACTATGCTTGTGTTCAAAAAATGTGCTGAAATCTGAATCGGATGCGGATGAACGTTTCTAAAATGATGTGTAAACGCATTCAAAATCATAGAAAGCAAATATCCTATTTCAAAAAAAAGGGAGGGGCACCATCAATATTTTACCCTCGAATCACAGAGTCACTAATAAAGGTTCCGTACCTCCGTGCATGACTTTACGAATCCTCCATTCTTGATCACAATAACCGCTGTATAATTGAATCCCGTTCACATTTCCTCTATATTCTACTTGAATCACTTTATCAAACACGAACGAAGATTGAATTATTTCCGTTTCATTCATATCTTATTATTGAATGTTGAAAAATTAAGAGTAAATAAAAATATAAAAATATCTGGTAAAAAATCTTTGACCTAATTTTAATTCAATTAGGTATATAAAATGAATAATTTAGGTCCTTTATTTTGAACTTATGTTTGTTGTGAACTTTTTATACATGTATATCATCTTGTTAATTAGTGATACTATATTGCGCGAAAATGCTTATCCACCATTCATGTCCTACAATGTGACATTTGAACAATTTATTGACAAATAAATGTATGTTACACAGATGAGATGAATGATTTTTTTCACGTGTATACTCTTAAAAATCAATCCAAAAAAAGTTAAAGCTAAAATCACATCGTTATTTAAAATTTCTCATACTTTCCCAAATTTTACATGATATTCATGACATTTCATTTTGATATTGTATCTCCTTGAAAAGAGAAATTGACAAAAATTTGATCTTTCAATTTGAACATTTTCATTTATGATAAATATATGGAAAGAATCTACAAGGAACGCGGGCGGGCCCCATAAAATCAAGATACCTAAAACCGAAAACTAAAAAGGTATATGTAAATATGTAAAAAAAATGGTTTTTCCTGAATAAATCTTATTTTTAAAGAAATCTGACTTATTCGTTGATTAAGTATTGAAAGTGTATATAAAATAAGGTTGAAAATAAATTCACTGAATCTGTATTAAAAATCAACTCTTACCTTTAAGATATTCACGATATTCGCGATATTCTATTATCTTTTAAACAAAAACACTTTATACTGGAAGTGATCGATTGCTCTCCAAAATTTTATTGAATTTTCGTTTATCTCTCCCATCAATCTCCTTGATTTCCTCAAGAATTCTTATTCAGTCCGGCTTCACTGTTTAGGACCGGAAATGACCTAAAAGATTTATATAATAGAAACGGCACCGACCGACTAATTTCTGCAAGTAGAAGGGAGGGGCAAATTTCAGAGTTTCTGAAACTAGCAACGTATACAAAATTAATGAATTTTATAAAAGAATGATAAATTGGACTGAATTTTTTCATTTTTGTCCATCGGATGGGTCGATGTTAGTGATACCTGACGATAATATGACGAAATTAACGAAACTAGCTTTTTATTAATGACGAAATTATTTTGCTTAATTGCCGAAATTATATTTAACTTGATCTAAATTCCTTGAATTAAATAAAATACATTAAAAAATATAATAATTTTATATTCATTCATATAAAAATATTAAAGAGACGAAACCTTTTGACGAAACTACAATTTTTCAAAAAAGAGTTTAGGCAGGTATCAATCAATCAAAACCAATATTATGGTCATGTGACTCGATGTTATCATGCATTTACAGTAAGGTTGTTTGCCTTTGATTACAGTTTTTCTTTCTTTATTTATTCAAAGTGTTTGGTCATTTTCTTCAATTTGTATTTTTGTGAATCTTTCTTTCTTTTGTTCGGTTGAAACAGTTATATTCTTTAATTCATGATATGTGAGTAAACTGCAAAAAATTATCAATCATTATTATAGATTTGCAGTGATAATAATTACTATTATTTTTATGATACTGGAGAATTTCATACTTCTTAGATAGTGTTATCTCAAAGTATTAGTTAAATACGTGTTAAATAATAGGTAAACGAAAAAAATATCAAGTCAGTTTAATTTCACTTGGCTTTATAGATAAAAACTTACATTACAGGCTATTTTCTCGAGATTGGTAGAAAATACAATGTATAAAAAATACATTCCAAACTAGTGATACCTGATGAAATTACCTTTCTTAATATGACGAAATTGATGAAACCGAAATGACGAAACTAGTTTTTTATTAATGATAAAATTATTTTACTTAATTGCTGAAATTATATTTAACTTGATCTAAATTCCTTGAATTAAAATACATTAAAAAATATAATAATTTTATATTTATTCATATAAAAATATTAAAGAGACGAAACTTTTGACGAAATTACAATTTTTCAAAAAAGAGTTTAGTCAGGTATCACTATCCCAAACTCTCAATTTATATCCTATTCGAATAAATATGAAAACAATGGTTATTCTTCAAAATACACACTTTTTTACTACTGTTATTCAGAATTATACTGGTTCTTTACAACAACTAGGATATATTTGTGAAGCAGGAGATTTAAAAAACACTATTTTTTAATAATCCTTCAACTGCTATAACTTCACTTTATTAACAACTTTTTAGAAGTGGCACTAGGTTTCTAGTTCTCTTATTATAGGTCATGATAAAACGAAAATTAATAAGCAACTTTTAGAGGATGTTAGTTTTTGTTCATTTTATTGGAAAATTCTGGTTATTTGTATATAGAATTGGTATTTCTTCAAATGAATAATTGTATTATGCAGGTTCAGGTTTTAAATTATCTTTTTATTATTCAATTTCAATTAGAGTAAAAAGAAAGAAAACTTTATTTGTATAAGGAAATAAATAAATAAATTTCAACTGTAAAAATATATCAAGATTTTAAATTACGATTTATATATATTGATAATAATCCTAATGATGTATGGTAAAAAGTTGGCATATTATAAGAACATAAGGATGTTGATTTATTTGGAAACAGGCATCCCAAATTCAAACATTTATTCAAACACTACTCATTCCTAAATATCTACCTAAAGAATGGCATTTTATTGATAAAATGCAAGTATTATAGAATTATCATTTGCGAAAATTTACATTAGCTTCTATTCAATAGAATAAATTTTTATTAAATGGTTTAATGAAACAAAAATTGTAATTGAAATTACCACCTCTTTAAAAAAATTATTATGTATTTAAGAAAAGAGAAATGCATATGTAAAGAATAATGTTAAATTATACCAGATGTATCAATATCATTCCCTATACAAAAGACATATCACCAGTAAGTTATTTTATTAAAGAATAAAATTTAAATAAATATATAAATTATAATAAATTATTACTTACATCATTTTTTACTAGTATGAATTTTAGACATGATCTGATGATCTATCATATGATTGTAAAACTTTACATTTTTTATACATGTCGGGATTCTTATATGACAAAATTAAAAGTAAGTATATAACTAAGTATATAAAAAAATTCAAAAAAAAATATTGAATTATAATTACCATTATAAATTTTGTAATTTATGTAAATTGCATAAGATATAATTATTGAAGCGAAAGATATGCAAGTATTAATGATTCTGGTGGTGCTGTAATAAAAAAATCTATTAGAAAAATCAAAAGAATTACTTTTGAACAAAAACAACAATTTGATTCATTTTTTCAAGATAAAGCTCATATAATTATGAGTTTTTATAAAACTGATGCTAAAACAAATCAGCCAGTTGTTTATTTAAAAAATACAAAGAATGTATTATAGGAAAAATTTAAAGAATCTTTTCAAATGGGATTAAATATACAACCTTTCACACTCACCTGATGGATCATTAGTATATTTATTGAGAAGATTTTGACGGGTTATGTTTCACATATAGTATATATAGATATGAAACTTTTGAAGATATTATAAATCTAGTAAAAAAAATAAATAGCATTAAATTACAGGTAAAAATAATTGGTTATTATAAAAATTTGTTATATACATACTAATTTTAAATAAAAAATTTATAGGACATTTTTTCTTAATGTTGTAATCTTTTAAAACGCTATTTAAAAAAAGAATACGAAGAACATTTAGTTATAATTGATTGTGGAATAACATCTCATGATCTATATATAAATCATTATTTATTATATGTGTTTGATGTATGTAGTGCTTCCTATACTTATATTTACAATGAATGTCAAAAAAAATTTTCCAATTTTTTCAAGATTTGAAAAACAACTTGAATTTATTTTATCATGAAGAAATTCAAGAATATCAAGATCATATATTTTATTACCTTACGTATCAAACCAGAAAAACATATTTAAAAAAATAGAGTACTATTAGTGATTGATTATAAGATAAAAATATTACCTAAAACTGCACATAAAATCAAGCAAGAATTTTTTGGAAAAAAGTGTTAGGCATTACATACAGTTTTATTATATACAAAACCTAAAGAAAGTATTAAAATTAATATATAAGCTATAGATCATTGATTTATAGATACTCGTCAGGATGCATGATTCTCTGCATCTTTATTATATAGAAGCTTTATAATAGAAAGGGAGGAAACTCTAAAAAATTAAAATTTTACTTTATAAGCTAATTATGATTTTTTTTTAATAAAATAAGTTCAGATTTAATATTTACTTAAAAAAAAATTTTTTTTGAGTTTCTTCCTTTTCTATTGCAAAGTTCTCATATTTTGTAATAGAAAACTTAGATGTTAAATTAAAGTGGATCAGCATCATCTCAGATAACAGTTCTCATTATCATAATTCGAAACTCATGATTATTATGAGTAAATGGTATAAATGATATGGAATTCAAGTAAAAAAATTGATATTTCTAGAAGGAGGTGAAGCTAAAACAACTGTAGATTCATATTATACCTAGGTTTGTAACATAAAATAATTTTTTTTTTAAAAAAAATAATATACTTATAATTAATAATAAATTATTAGATCTCACTTTCAATAAAGCAGTATATTCAAATTGGAGAAAAATTCAAGAAGGTAAAATAATATTACCTCAGTTATCAAAAATATTGCTGAAATTTCAGTCACCCATATAGAGTCAAATCAGACTAAAGGTAAATGCTATGTAAATGCTATAATTATTAGAATGTAATAAAAGAATTACTTAGTAATTAATAATAATAATTTATTAGCAGAAAATAAAGGAAAATCTATGACTATATCTGGTATTGTTAACGTGCAATTTTGGTGGATCATTACCAGTATTGGGCAAATTGTTTAATTTAACAATTGGATATTCAATTGGATATCCAATTGAACATATATCTAAATATCCAATATAATTTTATAAAATATCCAATCATTTGGACAAATAAATAAAATAAATATAAATAAAATAAATAAAGTAAATAG